GGGCGCGAAGAAATCTCGCCCGGGATTTCCGGGAGTTCCTCCTTGGGGCGGGTCTGGGAACTGGAGCCCGAAGGTCATCTGGAGGGGTATCTCAGGAGTGGGGGAAGGCCTTTGGGATCGACAACCACTTGCCGAGAGCCCATCCTTGGCTTTGCCAGACAGCGCGAGAGGAGGAAATGGACCCTCGCGGGAAGGGCGCCTCGATCAACCTCGAAGCGATGCCGATGTCGATCTCTCGAAACCAGCGATTCAGCGGAAGTCGATCTCCTCCGGCACCGGAGTGGGTGGACGTCTCTAGCTTCACGACGTCATTCGTGGAGATACGCGAGGGAGTTGACACTCGCCGATTCGCATCGGCGAGCTCGCGTTCCATGAATTCTTGTGCCGCAACGCGCTGCTCGTCGGGCGTCGCTGAGCGCAGCAGCGACGTGACGACGGCTTCTCCGGACACCGCCGCAAGGCGGTGGAGAGCTTCCCACTCCATCCGAGTGAGATGGAGAAAGGCAGCGTGGTCGAGGTCTTGGCTCATGTCGAACTTGGTCGTTGGAAGGACTACAAAGTGCTACCAGGTGTAACGGGCCAGGTATTTACTCCGTTACTTGCTTACACTATAGTGTTGAGGAAGCTCGCAATAGGACGACTGAGTCTTAGGTTTAAGGAAAAATCAACTCTGACTTTATTTTAGGACCAAGGCCACAGCCCTGGCCACTCAAATACACGTCATAGTCCAATTGGCTAATAATGGGTCTGGCTCCCCATATATCAGCCAATGGCATGACAGCATTTCAGCACACGCTAGTCGTGTGCTGATGCACCTACTTTTGTAAAGAAATCTACCTACTTATGTAATGGAGGGGCCCATTACAACTTCGGAATATCTGGAACATGGTACCAGGGTCGTCCGAGGCCAACCATTGGCTGATGACATTGCTTTTCTAAAGGTGACTTATAGTTTGTAAATTTAACTCAAGCTTAGCCTACCTAAAAATCTATTCAGCTTACAACTTACCTTTAATTGGTCACTTCGCTCCCTTAGGCAAAAGGGGGCCTGTGAACTGCCGTTCACTGATAGTATGTAACCTCTCGGAAGAAAACTTCCTCTAGCGCAAGGTGCTGCGTGACTTCGTCACAGTGGCTCACAGCAATTAGCTGATGAACGATTAATATCCCGTCCAATGGGGCAGCTACATGTATTTATAATGGCTAGGATGTTGGACAAGCTAAATTCTGAAAACGGAAGTCGCGAAATAATATTTTATAGGTTCTGGTTCATGCCCCAAATAAAATTAAGAATTATGGATACATGTACCGGGATCCCGCCAATAGATTCAATTTTTTTGGATACCGACCTCGTCTACTGTAAG